CGCCCAGCCGATGTGGACTCGGGGATGGTTGACGATGGCTTCGTGAACGGAAAAGGCCCCGCTGACGTGTCGGACTTCGCTGACGATGGCATGGTGGATTCTGGCACCGTGGAGGGCGGCGTGGTGGATGACGGCATGGTGGATTCTGGGACCGTGGAGGGCGGCGTGGTGGATGACGGCACGGTGGAGTCAGGCAGCATGGACGCCGTCGAGGGTGAAGTAGCTGAGCCAGAGCACGCCTTCTTGGCCGAGCCCATCGAGAAGAAGAAGAAGTGAGGCAGAAGCCCGGACGAGGGCAAGCAGGCAAAGTCCTCTGCGACAGCTGAGCTCGAGATCAGCGAGCTGAAGTGTCCGCCCCATAGGCATCCAACAGAGCTAGGCAAGAAATCCAAGAGATGGCAAGCATAAGCCGTAAGCTGTTCCGTTGCCCCTTCTAAGCTACCTAGGTGGCAGTCTATAAATGAAGAAGCTGCCATCACAGTCTGGCTCACGTTGGGTGTGTGAACTGGTCCACATGCCAGACAGGTTCGCGGTTCGCGTGACATGTGTATACATCTGGTACAAGACTCCGTGACTCTAGGATTCAAGGGTGGGCTCTCGAAGATGGCATGTGGACCGCCTTGAGAGTTTAGGCCCTTTAGGCCAGAGAGACCACAGGCGAAGAACGCTTTTTCTGGCGATTGGTCGCCGGCTCCACGGTGTAGCGTTTAGGCCCTAGGGTTTAGTAGAGTATACGGAAGCTGGACTAGACTCCTGAGTTCTGTGACGTGGCTCTTGCCACCAGTATTCGAGCGACTTCGCCTTTGAAGACTCATCTCCATTTCTTATGCGCAGATGTTCGTCTTTAGCTTGATTGCACTGAACCTTGCAGAAGGCAAAACAAACCCCTGATCCCCTTCTAAGTTGGCTTTGTCGAAAGCATCCTGCAGGTGAACACTCGCATGCTGCATCCACTGTGGAGCATTCTGGACGATATGGCCGCTCGGCCTATGTCCGAGCGCAGCAGCTTCATCGGTCAACCCCTTATGAATCCTAAGCCCAAAAAAGCCACTCTCGGCCATTTTTTTCCGTTCCCTTCGCTTCCTTTGATTGCTTTGAGAGTTCCTAAGTATTGAAACTACCCATAGGCTCCTTAGTAGTTCCTTTTTGGGATGAGTTTATAAGATCCTAAATATAAACCACAAAAAGGAACTACTAAGGAGCCTTTGGGTAGCTGCAGTGATCGAATCAGATGTTGTCAGGTCTTGCTTGCCTAGTGCGAGTGCGAGAGTCGACACCACCAAAACCCTAAAACCTCCAAAAGAGACCCTCGAACTCCTATAGAACCTTTCTAGGAGCCCTCATGAGCAATGCTCTGAAACACCGGAAAGCCCCAACACGCCGCCCTTCTCTCCGGACTCCGTAGGCCTAACTTCTCCTCCCAAGGCGTCACTTCGGTCCTTGGAGGCAGTCCGGATGACGAACTTCCAGCCTGCCAGCGACATGCTCAAGGACCCCCCGTTTTTCAAGGGCCTAAAATTCAGGAAGTTCAGGGTTTCGGGGCTTTCAAGGGGTTTCATCCCTTTGAAGGGTCGGAGCTGTGAATGGGTATTATTATTATTATCTTGATTATTATTATTATTTTTATTATGATTATGATTATTATGATTATTATTATGAATTATGATGATGGTTATTATGATTATGGCTATGGTTATGAGTTATGATTATGATGACTATTATGAATATTATGATTATGATTATGAGTATGATTGTTATTAATATTAATATTGTTATTACTTTGAATGACTAATGGTTGTTATTTTAATTATTAATAATCATTATTGCTTTTTATTATGTTTATTATGATTATTACGATTATGATGAAGCTGATTATCATTAATATTGTTATGATTATATGTGTATATACGTATGTATACACACAAACACACACACAGATATATATATATATATACACAATCACACCAACACAGAAACAAACAAACAAACAAACAAACAAACACACACACACAAACACCCACCCAC